TATATATACAAATTAATAACAACAAACTCTGTTTTACAAACTTATGCTTCTAATAAACTAATTTTTATAAAAAATATTTGAGAGTTTATTGATAAATCCAGGGTATAGACAAGTCAGTCATCACAAAAGTCTCATAATAATTTTCATATTATTTCTACTACCCGCTCAGCAATCAATTTATCAACAAAGTTCGCTGAGAACTTTCGTCAAGTTTCATTAGCGCACTGTTAAGACACCCTGTATACGGTGCTATAAGCTCTTTAATTCCAAGCGTGCTCTACAAATTGACATATTAAATATAGAAATAATAAAGTCTTGTGCAACTCTCTATGTCAAAATTAAAGGCAAAATAATTTTCTAAAACTACATTTAAGAGTGTATAGATAAATGCAGGGTATTCCCAAGTCAGTCAATACAAATATGGACTATTTTTATTTTTTTAAGACTTTTATTATCCACTCAGACGCGAACAAAGTGAGAAAAGAAGAGAACATTCGTCGAGTCCCATCAGCACAACTGTTAAGACACCCCGTACTCGGGGCATTGGAATCTTTCCCAGTTTAACTTCAAGCAAGCTCTAAAATCCTGACATATTAGAACAATAAAATTAAACATAGAAATTGTAGAGGCATGTGCAAATCTCAATGTCAAAATAGGGGTAATACTTAAATAAATAAATGCAGCTGCTGATAACAGAAAACCACAACACAGACAAAACACACACATTAACCCCATTGGCCCTTATCGAAGCCCAAGTATACATACAAATAAATAGAAGTACTATTCGCCTAGACTAGACAGTCACAGTTGCATACCTAACCTGAGACACACACACACACCATGAGCAGCTGTCCAGTTGCTCAGCGTGCTCGCCTGCAGAGGGAGTCCAAGGAGACAGCTCGCATTATCATCGTTGGATCGGGTCCGGCGGGCATTGCTGCTGCCACTCGGCTGCTTGAGCATGGCTTTCGGCATGTGCGGATCTTGGAGGCAGAGGATCGCATAGGCGGACGCATCAATACGATTCCATATGGGGACAACGTCATCGACCTGGGCGCCCAGTGGTGCCACGGCGAGGTGGGCAATGTGGTCTATGAGCGGGTCAAGGATCTGGATATGGTTACCAAGACGGGCGATTTCATGAACACCTTTCGCTTTCTGCGATCCAACAGGGAGCTTGTGCCGCAGCCCACAGCCAATGCCCTGAGAACAGCTGCGGAGAACTCCATACCGGATGGACCCAATGCCTACGATGGCTCCATGGGCGACTATTTAACCCACAAGTACTGGCAGGAGGTGGCCAAGATGCCCGATGTGGATCGCGCCATAGCCAGCGAGATGTTCGAAAGCTTCAAGCGAGGCGAATGCGGCACCGAGGGCTCGGATACTCTATTTGAGCTTTCGGGACGCAGCCACCTGGAGTTTGTCGAGTGCAAAGGGGATCTGTTGATCCATTGGCGGAATAAGGGCTACGCGAGTTTCCTTCGACTGCTCATGCATGCCAAGGAGGATGTGCCCGGAGATCTGGGCGTGCTCAGTGGTAAAGTCCAGCTGAGCAAACGCGTCTCCCAGATCAACTGGGAGGGGGATAATGACCTGGTGCTGCGCTGCTGGAATGGGGAGCTGATGGCAGCGGACCATGTCATCTGCACAATGTCCTTGGGTGTGCTGAAGGAACAGCATTGCAGCCTCTTTTTGCCCTCTCTGCCGGAGGCCAAGGTGCGAGCCATCAGAGGACTCAAGCTGGGCACCGTCGACAAGCTCTTCCTGGAGTTTGCTGTGCAGCCGCTGCCTCAGAACTGGTCGGGCGTTCATTTCCTCTGGATGGAGCAGGACCTCAAGGAGCTGCGTGACAGTAAACATTTCTGGCTGGAGAGTGTCTTCGCCATTCATCGATTTGAGGATCAGCCTCGCATGCTGGAGGGCTGGATCATTGGGGAGCATGCGCGCTACATGGAAACCCTGCAAAAGGACGAGGTGCTCGAGGGGTTGATGTGGATGCTCCGCAAGTTTCTGCCCTTCGATTTGCCGCAGCCAAAGAGCTTCCTGCGCACCCAATGGCACTCGAATCCGCATTTCCGTGGCAGCTACAGCTTCCGCAGCACCTACACTGATGAGCTGCAGACCGGCCCCTGGGACCTGGCGGCGCCCCTGACAAATGCTTGCGGTAAGCCAAGACTGCAATTCGCTGGCGAGGCCTCCAGCAGAACCCACTACTCGACGGTGCATGGCGCCACGGAGACGGGCTGGCGGGAGGCGGACCGCCTGAACGAATACTATGCCCGTGGGAGCGGTGCTGTGAGCCGAATGCAACCAGCTAACTAGATCAGTTCAAATGAACTGAATTGGCTAATTCCTGGTTCAAAATTCAAGCATGAGAAAATATACGACCATTTCTGAAATATCCAACCGTAGCTTTTACCTAAGGCTAGCTCTCGGCCCTGTCAAGCGAGTGACCAGAGCCCGGACAAACAAGGGCATTTTCTCTGATTGTCGCACGTATCCGACTGGCTGGACACAACTGCTGTCCAATGGCTGGGCAAAGCCGCAACAGATGTAGCCAACTTGCTAAGCAAAGGGGAGGAGGGACGACCTCACTCGCTCTCTCTCTCTCTCTCTCTCTCTGTCTCTCTCTCTCTCTGTGCATATGTAATGTAATGTGTAATGTGGGTAATCTGCGAGCAGAGCTGAGCTGACTACGAGGCGTGCTGGCAAATACATGAAACCGGGGGCTCTAATGCCTTTTGGCCTCTGCGTGGCATAAATTTGAATTTTCAACATTTAGGTAGCAGCCCCACTGGCAATGGTTAAAACATTTTCCAGGCGAGGCAAGTCCAGTTGATTTGAGTCGTGTGTGGCGGGGAGAGGGGCAGACTGGGGGTGTTTGTGGGCTTGCGGGTTTTGTGGCATTGTTTTGTCCGGCTTCTGTCGAAACTGATTTTTGCCGTTGCATTTCTGTTCCTATTTAGACTTTTTGCATGTGTTAAGTGCTCGGCCACGCCCCCGCTTGCAATAACAGTGCAATTACATTGTTGTGTGCGGCTCGTTCGCTTGCAAATGAGTTGGTCAACATGTTTGGGCCCAACACTAAAAGTGCTCCAAACTGTGGCCTCTTTCCACGCTCGACTGAATATGCAGCCCATGTGTCGGCAATTCAGCTACTCATTTTCATTTCAAGCCGAAACACTTTTTGTTTTTGGGATAACACTGCGCATATTGAACAGTTTCGGGGCTGGTCAAAGGATCAGAAAGTCCAGGTGGGGGTAAGTGGTCTTGGCTTGTTCCCTCCTCGACAAATGCCTTCGAGGCATATGACCCATCCCCCTATCAAGTGACTCCCCCTTGACAGTTACCTCCATGTCTAATTGTAAATCACATTGTTTAGTTTAATTTTCAATTTCACAATCGTTATGAATGCCAATATAAGCACTTATATTGGCTTCTGCACATTGTCTATTATCTAGCCCTCATAGTCGGTGTGTTCGGGAGCGATAGTAGGTGTTCAGGCGCTCCGCCTCGCGCCAGCCCGTCTCTGCTGCGCCATGGACCGTCGAGTAGTAGTGCTTGTGTGTGGCTTCACCTGCGAACTGTAGCCTGGGTCGGCCGCCCACGTCGAGCAGCGGCGCCTCCAGATCCCAGGCGCCGGTGCGCAACTCGTCCGCGTAGGTGGTGCGAAAGGTGTAGCTGCCTCGGAAGTTGGGATTCGCGTGCCATTGGGTGCGCAGGCAGCGCAGTGGGTGTGGCAAATCGAAGGGCAGAAACTTGCGGAAGAGCCACAGCAAGCCCTCCAGCACTTGCTCCTCGGTGAGCGTCTCCATGTGGCGGGCATGTGCACCAATGATCCAGCCCTGTAAGATGCGGGGCTGATATGACACGGGATAGAATCCAAATACACTCTCTAGCCAGAAGCGTTCGCTAGCACGCAACTCCTCCAGATCCTCCTGCAGCCAAAGGCAGCTGAATCCTGGCCAATCTGTGGGCAGAGGACGCACAGCGAACTCCAAGAAGAACTTGTCAACGGTGCCCAGCTTGAGTCCATTGATGGCTCGCACCTTGGCCTCGGGCAAGGCGGGGACAAACATGCTGGTATGCTGCTCCTTCAGTACTCCCAAGGACACCGTGCAGATGACATGATCCGCTGTAATCACTTCTCCATTCCAGCAGCGTATGATTAGATCGCCAGCCCCCTCCCAGTTAATCTGCGATATGCGCTTGTTGAACAGCACTCGGCCTTTGAGCATTCCAAGATCGTCGGCCTCATCATTCCTTGCATTCATCAGCAGTCTTAGGAAGCTCTTGAAGCCCTTGTCGCGCCAGTTGAGCAGCAGCTCACCCTCGCAGAGCCAGTATTCCAAATGCCCACGGCCGGAGACTTCGTACAAATGATCTGCAGCCTCCACGGAGCTCTCGAACTTGTGAAAGTTCTCGAGGAATTCTTCGGCTATGGCACGATCGATTGGCGGCAGCTTGGCCACCTCATTCCAGTATTTCTGTGTGATATAGTCACCCAGCGAGCCTCTGAACTCGACGAGTTCCGCTTGTCGTTCCGGAATCGAATTGAATGCAATACTTTTCAAGTTATCCGCAATATCATCGGGTAGTGTCTGCTTGTTGGAGCGCACGCACTTGTAGGTCTCATAATGGTCCTCGGTGTCCTCCAGCAAGTCCAGCTCCTTGACTCGCTCATAGACGGCATTGCCCACTTTGCCGTGGCACCACTGCCCGCCGAGATCCACCACATTATCCGCAAACGGAATTGTGTTAATGCGTCCGCCGATGCGATTCTCCGCCTCCAGCAATACTATGTTCCTAAAGCCCTGCTCCAGCAGTCGTGTGGCCGCCGCAATGCCCGCCGTGCCGGCGCCAATGATCACGATGCGAGCGGTTCTCTTTGTTATGTTCATTGTGCCACTGTATCGATGCACAGGCCTCCCTCACACGTCATTCACGCTAGACGTTCGGCTAGCAACTGAATTGCTCCAACTCTTTCGGCTCTGTCCAGCCGGCATCTCGCTCAGTGGTCAACGTGGCGCAGCGACGCTCATCGATCATGAGCAGTTCGACCGATGTGTTTACTTGACTAATCGATGACAGGCTCTCTCTACTCTCTCTCTCTCTCTCTCTCTCTCTCTCTCTCTTCTCTTATACAAGCTTTGATGTAATCATAAGATAAATGCAGATATCGTTGCTTACAAAGATTATTTATGAGGCATAAATTATAAAGCAAATTATCTTTGTTGACAGCGAAATATTTATTCTGTGCAAACATAGATTTTGCAACGCAAATAACAGCAAATAATTAAGTAAATATTATCTTTAAGACTTTCTTTTAGCACATTTGTAGACTTTTTAAGCACATGGCCAAAAGGTTTTATGTAATTTGTGTCGTATAAAAGTATATATAAGTGTATATAAACTGCTGATTATTATCAGCCAATATAGTTGATAAAGTATATCAATTTCACTTCAAAGAAAATTATTTATATTTACAAAAGAGTTGTCCATGGAGAAGTTTAAGTGGATTCTGTTGTGAGAGTGAGGCTCAGTAAATTGAGTGTAACTTATTGGAAGTGAACTCTTCTGGTCATGGAATCCGTCATTAAATTGTATTAGTAGACATTTGCCATTATTCTATATGTATTTCTACCACTGTCCAATCTCACTCTCTCTGTCTCTCTCTCCCTTTAACAATGTCCTAACTGAACTTTTAGTTTCCTCGTCCGGCACTCGTTTTGCAGTTCCCAGCAAACTAAACCACTGATAAACTCGCACATGAACTGAAAGCCACACACACACACACACACAGAGCTCTATGGGATTCGTATGTAAGTGAAAAATAATCATGGATGCGAATGTATGGGGAAACAATGTAACAGGCGGTAGTACTAGTTGCCAGTGGTTGTCGATGGTTGCCAGTGGTTGGCAGAGGTTGGCAGTGGTTGGCGGTGGCAGAGCGATTTGATGAATGTATTCATAAAAATCCAATCATTGCAATTGCACCAGGAACAGCAGCAGCACTTCCCAAATAGAAATACAAATACCGAATAACTAAAACAACAACTACAATGGAATGATGGGTGCGAGGGGCGTGGGGCGAGGGGCGAGGGCAAAAGGCATTCAAGATGAATACGCCCAAATAATGGGAAAACACAACAGACAGCTGGGTGCGAACTTCAGCAAACGAGCGACTGACTCTGAACACGGGCCCATATTCCACGCCCACGCCTAACGCCCCACCACCCAAGCGCCTCACGGATCCGCATCACAAAAACAGTCAACAGAAAAAATTGCAGTAATATTTTTTTACAAAAAAGCAAAACAAAGCATTTGTGCATAGAACATGAAACGCAAAAAAAAAAAACCGAATAAACAAAAACAAAGAGAAAATACTAATGCAGAGCAACGAATATGGAATACCCTAGTAAAAAATATGTGTGTTATTATACGAAATTTATTTGAAAATAAAAAATATAAATATTCAATAAAGTGGGCAATGCTTATATTTATTTATTTAAAAATAATAAATAAATATCGAAAAAATATTTTTAAAAAATTTAATAATACAGAAAATGATATTAAAAAATTTAAAAAAGAAAATATTGTCTCAAAATATAAATGTTTATACAAAAAATTTTTTATTGAAATATGCAAAAAATTTGTTACATCGAATTTACATGAAAATTTTACTTCTGAAAGAATTTTCTAATTATAAATGCCCAGAAATCCATTTAATTGTAATACTTAGAAAAATTTTTCACGAAATATAGTTTATAAAATCTGAGCCCCCATGAGTATATAAATATTAAATATTCTTGAAAAATGATTTGTCAAACGCTGTCATCTTCATGCAAATACCCCACCAAAAAGGGTATCGAGAATAAAGCAAAGAAATCGTTTATAAACAAGAACAACAAGAAAAATGCGATTAAAATGACAAGTGAAAGCAATTTTCGTGCAGCTGCTGTGGATAATGGAACGGAGTCAGTGAGAGAGAAGGAAAGAGAGAGAGAGGGAGAGAGAGAGAGAGAGAAGACTATATAGGGGAATTGAGGGATAGGGTTGGGCTGTTGAGTGAGTGCTATTTGGCATGGAATGGAATGGCAATATACAGACATATACACATACATATATAAGAAGGCACAAAAATATGACTACGTTTAGTTCACTGGATGGGAATATTACATTTACAGGCACGCCCCCTTTCGAGGCGGTACTCACATTCTTGCTGCATTCACATTTTAGTATCCATTCGACGGCAACGAATTTATTCTCAATTTGTATTTGATGCGATTGCAGAAATTCCTGATCGATGGGCTCCAAGCCAATGGTGTTCCATAACTGTCCTTCCGGCTGCCAACTGTCGACTGCCTCGGCTGCCTCGTCCTGTTGCATGCGCTTTTGTACGTAGTTAATTGGATCAACGGCATTTAAAGGGCACAGCAGCTCCACCTGCAGGAGGAAGAGGTGAGAAGAGGAGAGAAGAGAGAAGAGAAGGCTTGTAAATGTAACGAGTGGAAATTACGACAAGAGTTACGCTCCTGTCTAAAGGCAACAGTTTAATAAATCGGAAATTGCGCTCGACTCTGAGGTGCTAAATCGATTTTGAGAATCATCTTCAACTGCTTCAGCTGCCAATTGCAAATTGACGTTCTAATCCAATTCGCTTTTTAATTAATACTCAAAGGGCGGCTCAAAAGCTAAGTCCAATCAAATAAACAACAAACTGCAAAAAATTTAAATTGGATTCGCATCAAGTTTCAGTTGAGATGAGCTTAAAGAATATTTGAATAGTGAATACTGAATATTTGAATAAGAATTTTCTTTGAATTTTTAAGCTTTATAAAATATTTTTGTTTATTTAAATTTATCTAATTTGTTCTATTGCCCGTTAATTTTTTTATCCGATTAAATTATCGCTGATTGTCTTATTGAGTCATGCAATTTGCAAATCGAATTGAAATCGTGTCGAGTCGAATCGCTACAATTGAAAACTAAACCGCAACTTACTTGAATTGTTGTGGAAACAGCTGGAATGCAGCACTTGGTGCCCCGATGGCAGCTGCCGCAGAGCTTGGGGCGATAGAGCTTACGGGAGACGCACTCGCCCAGCCGGATCCGGGCAGTGCCCAGGCGCTGCAGGCTGCGGCACTCGTGGCCCTTCTGCGGAGATGATGCAATGTAAAGAAACAGAAGCCGATGCCTAGGCAGAAACAACAACAACTCACTCTTATTCTGTGTGCGGGCTCCTGTTGCATATCGAGCGCCTTGCCATGGCCATTCCTCTTATGATGATGCTGCTGCTGCTGCTGATGAAGCTGGCTCCTGGCCAAGTTGTTAAATAGTCTATTGTGGCTATTGCCATAGCTCTTGCTGTTGCTCTGGCTGTTGCTCTGGCTGCTCCTCTTATTGTCCTGGGCACATCTGCGATTCTCGCAAAGCCGTAAATTGCTCAATTGATGGCAGCCGGCATGGGTGCTCGTCTGCCTTGTGGCCATGCCCAGGCCACACGGCCGACTGCAGGCGCTCCAATTGCCGCTGATGCTGCTGTTGTGGCAGGTGGCATAGACTGCAATAATGAGTGCGGAGCACAACAAAAACAACAACAGAAACGTTAAAGAATATACGTATTGCTAATGCTTATGATTGGCTGCCTAATGGCCCGAGTGCTTAGTGGGGCCTAAGTAACTAAATGGCCTGACTGCTTAGCAAACCTCTTTGAAGTTAACCAAGTCGCAGCAACTACGACCAACTAGCACTAAGTACGTGCAGTGGACACTGAGAAGCTAAATCATTATTTATTTAACCTAAGCACTCGGTGAGAAAGCAGATATATCTTATACAAATGCCTTTAAGCTAATGTTTGCTAAGGTTTATGGCACTCTCTCTCCCTCTCTCTTGCCATCCCTTTCCACTTGGCCAACATGGAATTCATTTCCTTACATCAGCGTGGGCTTCTTGACATTTAATGACAGATTTCACTCTTCCACTTAACCTTCATTAAATTGTTTGCCTTCCCTTGAAAGATCTGCAGATCTCTTTACGCCTAGCTTAAACATCGTATCGTATACAACTTCTTATGATGTAGAGCTCTAAATTTATGTGGAGAGATTTAGCGTATTGCCGTAATTCAATAACAGCACTCCATTTTATTCTATACGCTCTGTTCATGAATTCAGCCGAAATATTTATATACAAACAGTCTCTCTCTCTCTCTCTCTCTCTCTCAACTAAAGCCTTCGGCTCTTTTCGTTTTCGGGAGTCGGTTGAAATATTCGTTCGGTTTTCACGAGCATAGTGTAGGGAGAGATACGATTGAAGTTCGTCAATGCCTGATCATGTTGAGGAACCAACATAATCGGTTGCTCTCTTAATTTTTTCTCAGAGTGACCGTAGAAAACATTCATCGAGAAAGAGTCGGCAGATATTTGCTAGGATTATGGATTATAGATTGAGCTCAAAGATAAGAGCTCCCTAGAGAGTCTGGCAATTACAGTCGAATTGAAAATTTTCTTAAGAGAAACTACATTGTCATCCATATAAGCTTTACTGCCTGCAATCTGCTGAATCTATTAATATATGAGAGCTGCAAGAGCTTTAACTCTACAATCGAAATGCCGAATACTCCTTAGTCTCCATACAGTACAGCAAATAAAGGTTCTTCATCTTAACCTTCTGAATGTGGCAAAGCAATTGTGAGCTGAACAGTTGTCTATAAACACATACGTACATACATATATGTCAAAAGCGCATACATCTACATGTATACACACATTCGTACACATGTATTCCCACATACGCAATTGATGAAGGCGTTAAGCCCATTTGAAGTGAGGGCATCTTGAGAGCGCTTAATAATCTTGTTTATTTATTGCATTTTTGCGCGTTTAATTAACATTTAATCCTTGTGTAAGTAATTATGCTGCTGCTGCTGTCCACTGCCACAGGCAACAGCAGCAACAACAATATCATCAACAGGCGAAGGAGGAGGGGGAAGAGCAGCAGACGCTCCCGACTGTTGCCTTGTCATGGAATAATTCATCTTCATAAATATGCGTTGCGCTTTTGGCTGGGCGCTTAAACAGCATTAAGTTGTGCCAGGACATGGCAACTGGCTGCCCCTGGGCGCCATTAGCAATGGACCATGGCCAAGCCGAGGCTGAAGCCACAGCCGCAGCGCGCAAAGAGAAGAGAGAGAGAGAGAGTGTGTGTGTGTGTGTGTGAGAGAGAGAGAGAGAGAGCTGTGGCCATAAACGCACTTATAAAACAATAACAAAGCCTTGGACCACAGATCCCACCGTTGGCTGAGAAGCGGCACAGGCAAACACAAACACAGGCACAAATATAAACACACACACACACACACGCACAACTTACCATCAGCTGTTGGATTCTCACAGAGCCACATTTTGCAGCAGTGGCCGGGTACCTCGACCAGACGCGGTGATCTGCATGAAATCGTGTCCTCCGGCGCCGGCAGCTGCTCGTTGGGGCACAGCGTGGAGCAGGCATGGCGTCCATTCTGCAAGCAGCGAAAGCAACATTAAAATACATTAAATTTCGGCAGAGAGCAGTCTGTTGTTGTTGTTGTTGCTGCTAGTGTTGTCTGCTATTTTGTTAGTCTAATACCAACCCCCCCCCTCCCCCCCCCTCGCAACTAAAGTCATATTCAAGCGCATCTACTCTATGTATGGGCTAGAACGTAAGCTGCTTGTCTAAGCTCCAACTGGGTTTGGCTCCTTCCTTTATGGTTGTCTGTCCAAATTGCAATGGATAAATTGAGAGAGAGAGTGTATGGGAATATGTGTGTGTAAGTGTGTGTGTGTGTGTGTGTGCGTGTATCTGGGTGTGTCTCTGTTATGGCGCCATGATAAACGGCCGCAGCAGGCAATAGGCACACGCACACACACACAAACACACACAGTTTCGTAGCAAACAAATGTGCGGCCATTAAGCAATGCCATGGATTTTGCTTTCAGCCAGATTTAGGCAATCCTTTTGCATTCTTTTCATATAATTGCACGTAAATATCATTCAAAGCATTCGCTGACTGAACAATAATAAGTAAATTGAATATTAAGACCATATGTGGTATACAGCATAGCTAGTTAGAGATTATAATCAGAATTGCTGTGTGACATATCAATATCAATATCAATATCACATATATCATATATGTCATATGTCATATATGGATATAGATATGCATAAGTATAGATATGCTGCCTTTACACTATTTTATCATAACCTACGATTTTAAATTAGATTTTAAGTTTCTGCTATTAACTATTATTAAATATTATATATGCTGGCGATAATCCTTCCACACATGTCTCATAATCCTTATAGCTATATAAATGTTAAGTGTTAACCCTTATGTAATGCATATCACTCTCGCACTTCCTTCATACATACATATCAATCGCTTCACTCACTCCTCATTACATAAGATAACCCACAGCCTAACCTTATGCACACATTGCTCAATTTGTACCCACACAAGTGTTAAATGTTAACCCTTATGTCAAATTCTGTATGCCAACGACAAAGCTAAAAGGCTATCGATGGCTGGCAACTGATGCTGTTTAGTGCAACTGCATTTGACCTTAAACCGAATCTGTGGCATGTTATCGAACTTGCCCGCTCCCCGCTCCCCGCCCTCCCCCAGCCCGTCACTTACCTCGCAAACGCATTGGGTTTTGCAATCCAATTTAAATGTGGCTCCATGTGCGAATGTTGTGTTGCCAACGCTGCAATTGGCTGCGAGCGGGTCCAGGCAGGGGACGAGTCCAATCGAAGCAGCCGTGTGACAGGAAGCGAGAGCAATGCCAGTTCCATTGTTGTCATGCAGCATCAAAGAGCCGATAGTAATGCCAAAAAAAAAGAGAAGAAGAAAACAAACAAATTTTTGTATAGAGAGTCAGAAAGAACAGCAGAAAAAGAGAAAATAAATCGGCAGAAAACCGAGCTCGAAATAGATTTAGAAATTGAATCGAACGCAACATTTAGAGCTTTGTGGCTTTCCAGCTAATGGCTGAGAATGGAAAACAGGAGTTTTAAAGCGAATATTTTTGGATGTTTCGAATGAAGAATATGTGTGGGTGTGCTATGAATTGCAAATGATTTTATATATAACTTTTGATTACATTTGACTGATATATATATAGAATGTTCGGTATGTAAATATTGTATATTGCATAATTTATATCTGGTTTATCTGCTTTGTCATCTATTCTTTCCTAAACATTAAATATGTATAATTATATCATATTAATTTAATGTACTATATTTAACTACTATCAACTTTTTTCCTTCTACAGACTTACATAAAAGGTCTCTTATATATCAAAATATATATGTCAAAATAAACTATATCGAGTTGAACTTCAATCCCAACTATATTTCCCAGAAGCATCACCGCCTTTAGTCTTAGCTAAGGCAATGTCTTACAGATCTTGCTCTGCTATTGCAACATATGTAAACTTACATGGAATCTCCCTACAATTTCTTGTGCAAACCGAAACAAATCAATCTAGCCAAATTGAACATTCACCTGCTATAAAGTACTTTCCATTATTAGCTTATTCTAACCACAATGGTAATTTATGTCGCATGCTGCTCGCTTAAATGAAAAATCCGCTTTTCTCATTTCCTGCTTTCTTCTTGTTGTTGTTTCTTTATTTGCTGACATTCGTAAAAGTAATTTTGGAATTGAATGCTGCTATTGCCATAATTACGCTGCCAAGGCTTGTTTATTACCAATTCGCTTGACTGTGCTGTCTCCCCCGAGTCGTTTCATCACATGTCAAACGGGCAAAAAGAAAAAAAAATAGCAGAGAAAACCAATTAATATCTAGGGAAGCCACAGTTACTCTTATAAATTCCACACACGCACTCACACACATACTCAGAATACACTTATACAATTACATATGTGTGGGTGCTATATTTGCGAAGCAAACAATAGACTTGATGTGCGTTTGGGCCTCATCAAAATTGATACTGACAAATGTTTTGGTTTATGGGCAACCATTAGGCCACAAAAGTTTGCTTTTGCTTTTGCTTTTTGCATTTGGAGCCTGCTGCTCCATCCAGCTCCAACGGCCCACAAATATGTCTAGCCGCCAATCACAATTATTCGGATTTTGTGGCTGCCCCCACTGGATATTTGCAATTTCACAGTAACACAGGAATTTACGCAGATATACAGAGGGGGAGAATGAGGGAGCAGGAATGAAGGCACGTAGAGTAAAAGAGAGAAAGAGAGAGGGAGACAGAGAGAGAGAGAGAGAGAGAGCGAGCTACACCTATAGGTACTTTATGTCTACGTGCTCGCCTGGCAATTTTCCACTTTTTCTTGGGCATATTCGTGAATTGATTTTCGTTGACGACGTGACTCTGTTAGCCAGCCTTGTCAGCCCTCTCAGCCATTTCAGCCATCTCAGTCTGGCAGCCACGACTGCGGCATCATCATTCATTCACTTGCTGCCATGGTTAATGCGCAAATTGGCATTGAACGTTTGCTTGTAACGTAATACACGCACGTGGTCGCATATTTATGTCATTAGCAATTAGATATCTATGCGGTAACTTGAACTACAACAACAACAACAACAACAACAACAAGAGCAACAACGGCCGGAAGTATTTAGAGGCTTGCGGCAGATTCCAACACCTTTTTACTTTGTGGCCTGGAATTGTGTCAATTTCGAAAGTGCAATCTTCTTAATGTACTTTGAAGCACACACATACACACACACAGACACAGAGAGGCTGACACAGACTCCCACACACACACACACACATTCATACTGCTTTACATAACAGGTAAAGTTCAAAGTTTTCCTCTCTCTCTGTGTGTGTCATTGCTCTTTACAAGCAATCGCTGTTTACCCCTAACGAATCGAGCAGAACAGGGCATTATCAGCTAACAGATACTCTACAATTACATCAAATTCAGCTATAAGCCTAGGCAGCCATCATCTTAAGCCATATAAAATAGCTACCAATAAACATTCATTGCCAAAAGCCGCACCCTAAGCCACTTTGGCCATATTTTTACAGGGTATGACTGCCTGGCAGCCGGAAGTATATAGAGAAATTGCAATGCGAGCACTTTTATCTGCGTTAGCTGTCAACATTTAAGACTGTCTACGCTTTGCTGGAGTGTGCTTAAGCAGTTATGTGTGTCGTCCTTTCGTTCCGTCTGCCTCTGCCTCTTCTTCTTCTTCTTTTTTGTCGGCCGCCTTATCCTAGCTATAACTTCATGTTATGCATTATACGCTCGTTGTTGTTKTTTCGTAATGTACTCGTTGTTCGTTATTGTTTACCTTGCGACAAGCTCTTGCCATCCTACTACTACCCCTTTGTGTCTGTGCCGAGAGCTAGACACCCCCCCGGCCCCTTCCCCCCTTCCACTTTCCAAAAAAACGTGTAGCATAGTTTTTTGCGTCCAGCGTCCAACGACGGGTTTTTGTTTGGGGTCATCAGCGCTTCTCTTGGTGCCTGGTTTGGGGTCACGTTTGCACAGTTTATTTGTCTTATGCCAGAGGGCCGTAGTGTTTGTTTTACTTAGAGTTCTCTTCTTCTGCCTTCTTTTTTTTTTTTGGATTTACTTAAGTCGTTGATGACCATGACCAAATAAAGTTTCATTTTGTGCAAAGATTTACAGCACTCGAGCGTGTGTGCGACAACTTTTGAGTGCTCGCTGTCCAACACACACACACACACACACAGCCGGAGATCGTTCAATAAAGTCTCAGCTCGCAAATGTCTGCTGGGACAACGCTGCGTATGCGCAATTTTATTGCAAATTGTGTATTCAATGCTTGTTTGCCTGACACTCGATATTAGCAGAGTCGCCGAAAGAAAGGCAATTTTATGCGGACTGCAAGGTTTCAAATCAAGGAAATGCCAGAGGAGTTTACAGAGAAGCCAGGCCTTGTCTAATATATACCTATATATATTTAGCTCTAACTTTGCTTGACTGAACTGAAGTTAGTCTAATATATGTCTAGCTTTAATTTTGTTTTCAGCTTCCTATCCCTTTTGACTGGACAGAAGTTAGTCTGATCTATATATAGCTTTAATTTTACATTCATTTCAACTGTTCTCTCTCTCTCTCTCTCTCTCTCTCTTTTGCATTTTGATAGTATTTATGTCATCTGTAGAAAATGTGCAAATCTTTTGCAGTAAATCTTTTCGCATGTTGTTTAAATAAGAATTGCTCACGATTTCGTAAATTTATTTTTTGTGAGTTTATTTCGTCTTACATGAACACACACACACACACACACATTCAACACACACACGCACACACATGAGCTACACGCTCCACATTTTTCGTGTTTCGATAACTTTTTCAGAAGTTACACGCCCCGCCCCCTGGCGTGCCCCTCGTCATTCCCTTAACTCGGAAAAAAGAACAAGTTTTACAGTTTAAATAAACTTGTTCCGCTTTGCCTGGACAATGCATCAGCGCAGCGGGGAGCGCTACAGGCAACAAAACGTGTGGAGCATTGATATGGGCCCAAGGCACACTCACACACACTCTCTCACACATACGCATACACACACAGATGTGGGCTGTGCTTTGGCACCAGCAACAGCTACGAAACCCACAACAGGCGTCTAGAGCTCATGGACGCACAAACTGTATTGGCATTTGACTCAAAACTTTTGGCTTTTAGCTGCAGCAGCAGCAGCAGCAGCAGGAGGAGCAGGAGCAGAAGCAGCAGAGGCAGGACACGGCGTGGGGGAAGAGTTGGGGCGTTGCTCACACAACCATAAAACATATGCAGCGATATGGCCCGAAGCTGAAATTGGTTGGTATTTGTTGTAGCAGCCGTATTGAAAAGTTTTTGGCACAGTTCGTGCTGCTGTTTAATTTTGAAAAGCTTTGCACGACAACATGTGAAGCAGCAGGCAAACATGTTGAATGAATTTCGTTTATATGTTTTGATGAAAGCCGGCCAGGAAGGAGGCGTGGAAGGTGTGAGCCAATTCGACAAATAATCAAATAAATCGATTAAAATCAATTTGCTCCCAAGTTGCCAACGACAGGCGGAGAATCTTTACTCAGATTATGCTAACAATGTTACGGCAGGAAATGCTAAGAGGATAAAAGCATCTTTAAGATTTGAACTTAAATTATATTTGAATTAAATTGAAATCGGGGTATTTATTCTTATATTTATATTAAATGGACTTTAACGTCTTTTGTGTCTTTTGTAGTGGGAGTTTGCATCGAATGAGTCAAGTAAAAACTCAAGCAACTGATTTTTTTTTTTACTTTGTATATAATAATCGAATAGATTATATGCCATATTTATTTATTTATTCTTTTCATGCAATATATTTTATCAATAATGCTATATACATATATTAATAAAATATATTGTATATTTTTTGTATTAAAACTTTAATCATACATTTATTTATACATTCCAAAAGGCATATTTATTTTTACATATTTTAACAAATTAACCAAAAAAAATTGTATATTTTACTATTTTTGCTTTAAAAGCAAAGCGAATTTACCGATTCTTTTTTATATTCACATACATTAAATATTTTTATCCATCTGCATCAAAACAAATTTCCTTTGATTTCCGCTCAGATTATATGCTCATATTGGATTAAAAATTAAATCCGTTGATTTACGACTCAGTTCGGCTCATGAAAACGTAATCAATGCCTTTTAGAGGACTTTCAATCCGTTTTTATTTTATTAAACTTTGTCTGCTTCACGGAATTCTTTATTAAATAACAGCGCAAACCTTTGCTTCTCATTTGCTTTTACTCGGAAATGTCTTATCCTCGTTTACTTCTTTCTACTATTTGGTTTCTTGGTGTTTTCTTTCTTGCCTTATTTTGCCATTTCGTGCGCCCCTAAAAATGAATATTTATTTGGCTAACAACACGAGAAATATTTAAAATTGATGGCTGCCTAAATGGGAAATCGTCTGTCCAACTGTTTTCTGTACTTTGCTTTACGAGCTATTTTTTTATTTTTTTATTTCTTTTATTTTTCTCTTTTTGAGAAATTATTTTTGGGTTGATTTGAAGTGCCTTTGATTAATGAAGCGCAAAGTGAATGTAATTTTGCAATTTTCATTTGAAATTCATTTGATTGCAATTTGCTTAACGTTAGTCGAAAACATATCAAATAACTCAATAAATGAACTTACCGGGATTTATATGCCTTGGCAGCTAAGTCAGAAAGATAGAAAGAAAGAGAACCAGGGGGAAAGAGATGCAGAGAGAGTTTTTGTTTGTTACGAAATTCATATCTTGGACTACTCACTCTGATGACCTTAAAACCTAAGCTCAGATTCGCTTCGACTCCAGCAATGAGACTATTACCAAATACACTCAGCAATGCCAGCAGTATCAGCATTTTCTGTAAAAATAAGATAAATAGCGTGTTTAAAAAAATTTAAGGGCGAAACAAGTAAGAATGCTCTAGCTGAGAGTTACAACACTGGGAGATACCCTGTACCGTATGAGTTCTTTGTAACAGTATTAACTGTGGTAGAGTCTATGTTGGAAATAGAGTTTATCTTATGGCTCAAGTGGGATATGCATAACTGAGAGCTGATTCGATCAATTTTGATCATATTTTTGTTATCGATAAATAAATAAACAAAGATCAAGTTTTACATCGACTTTTATCGATTTCGTAGAGATTTTTCATGTTATCGATATAAATTTGTAATGTGGAACGATTTGGAGTAACCAAATTCGAGTGCCTTAGCCACGACTTAACTTAAATATTTTACGTTTGATATCGAATTTCAAGAAAGGTAAGGAGGTATAATGGCTTCAGTATTACATTCATTCATTCAGTATTACAGACGGATGAATATAACTAAATCGATTATTACATTCCTAAACCTGTTTAAGAAGAATATATATATAGCCATTGACTTCATATAGGGCCACTTCAGCCATGCCTGCTACTAATACTGCCTGTTACGTACACTTCAGCAGAGCCCAAACAACCTGTTTGGGCATTTAGGCAAGGGATACCATAATGGGTATGAAAAAGGTCGAAACCAGACAACAGCAGCAGCAGCAGCAGCAGCAGTAGCCACAGCCGCAGTCGTCGACTTTATTAAGGTCAATTCAATGTCTGGCTTGGTTCGTTTTTCTCTTTTTTCGGTTACGGCTAATGGTTTCGTCTATGGAACAAGGTCTAAGGTCTGTGTTTTGCATTTCCATTTGGGTTTGCTCTTTTCCTTTCTTTGCGCTTCGCACGCCTGCAACCAAAACAATTTTTATTATTTATTATTATTGTGCTATCTGGCCTTTTGTACTGAGCTATAAAAACAAAAGGTGGCAAAGGCAAACTTGCTAAAAAGAAAAGCTTAAATTAAGCAACAAATAAAATAACAGAGAACGAAGCAAAAAAGGAGCGAGCTGTGTGAAGCTCTATTTATATAGAATTTGGTCAACCCAAATGCGTTCAGCAGCAAATTGGTTCAGCTTCAGTGAAAGGACATATAAATAAATGTATATGTGTTGTATAAATATGATATGTATAATGACTGTTTTTTTAATGCAAAAATGCATAAATATATTGTTCACACACACATGTATACAAAGCGAGAAAAAACTCATTAAAAATATTTTGCAGTCATGCGCAAGAATCTTAAAAGGTATTTAATTAAACTTTAATAAATAAATATATGCACAGAGCGCAGGCGGCACATTACATTGTGGGGGAAAATATACAGAAAGAGAGAGAGAGAGAGAGAGAGAGAGAGAGAGAGTGAGTGAAAGCGAGAGAAATTAAAATTAAAAAGCAAACATTATGAAAGCACAAGAGTAGGCGTGGCCAAGGAGAGAACAGCGCGTAGCATAAAGGTAACTTTGCCTTAAATGCGCCAGTTTTCAATTAACGTCACAAAATCGCATGCCGCTAAGTGGATAAACAGGCAGAGCTGGTTGGGTGGTTGGTTGACTGACAGAGTGGGGGGCGACTGGGGTGGGGAAGACTTGCCGGACCTAGCTGAATGCATTGATTTTTCGGTTCATTAAGAAACTGCATTTGCACTCCATGTCGCAATTATCGTAATTACAATGAGCGATGGCCAGGACGACGTATACTATGTGGTCATATAACGTGCGAACGAGCCAACAATAATACAGAGCTAACGAGCCGAACACCAAGTAAAGAACAACAGCAACAACAATAACAGCAACAACATTAACAACAACAACAACAACAAAGGCAACATTGTCATTGACACTTTTAATTGCAGCTACACACAAAGGAGGAACAACTTTTATGCCAGCAGAAGTGGGCCAACATATTATGTCACATACAGGAGATAGATAGAGAGAGAGAGACAGAGAGAATATATGCGTAAAAAGTGAATGGTGTATAGAAGAAGCGCAGGTACAAACTGGTAAATACCCTCTAAAGACAAAGGTAGAGTCGAGTATGTATAAGTATATAATTGGGAAGTTAAATGTGATGGAAAGGGGAATATAGCTCGTTCACTGACGACTTGGCAAGCAGACAAAACTAACCAGCAGGAGGCAGGAGCAGAAATTGGGTACAATTAATAAAAACGCTATAAAAAACAAGCATATGAAAATATATAAAAAATGTAGGTAAATTGCAATATGAATTGAGATATGAATTGAAGTGAAAAAGAGAAAGGGAAATATACTTGCTTTTATAATTCATATTTTTTGACTATTCAGTATGCTTAGAGAACTGGATACTCTATAAAAGCAATACTAAATATAATATATAGAAATGGAAAGTAATGTATTATAGAAAGGTATTTTTATATGGGATATCTAACAAGCAGCAGCAGCTACCAGCTGTCAATACGGTGTTATCATTAGTCAGGCCAGCATGTATGATTGATAGACACATAGATACGCCTTTAAAGCAACATGCAAACAGGGAAAATAAAGTAAACAAATTCAGTTAGCCTTTCTCTTTCGATTCAAGGTATCTATGCAAGCTTTCAAGATTAAATTATGGAGCACCGTAATTGAAACGAAATTAGAGTAGAGCAACTCGTTAAAGACATGCTTAGCTCTATCACTTCAGCCTTGTTAAACAATTCTGTAGAAGAAAACTAACAAGTAGAGGCAGCATTAAGAGCAGCTTACATATTTCAAGCAACTCTGATGAAAGCTAACAAACAGCTTCGAACTTCTACAAGTACACTCTAAAATCAGCATAAAATACAGTATGCCCTAGGTAAAGCTGACTCATGAAAAGTTGTAGAGGAAAAGGATTTTGCATTTTGGCAAAGCCCAACCCATATACCCCATTCGACCCACCTGGGCAACAGCGCATGCTAGGCACCCGAACTGTTGCCTCTGTCTGCTGTGTGTGTGTGTGTGTGTTTATAATTATGACGAAGAGGGCAAATTCATCAAAAACAGTGCTGAAAATGCTGAGCCCGAGGAGCACAGGAAAAATGAGAAATTTGTATGTCATTTCGGAAATGAAAACTGAATGCCTTCAAAAACGAAACTGTCGACTCGAAAAGGATGTGCAAGGAATAATAATTGAGGAAGCTGCACTACAGCACCATCAGCAGCAGTAGCAGCAGCAGCAGCATCATGGAAATTAATGAATAGCCCGGACTGAGACAAAGCTCAACCCTAGTCGCATCATGCATGATTATGGCATAATAAAGTTGAAAAGTTCTTACAAAAACACAAAAAAAAAAAAAAAAAATGCAAAATAAAGATTGCTTTTAAAGTTGCGTAAAGTGATTAATGTCGGCGACAGCAAAGATCCCTGACAGTCTGTGCGTGTGTGTTCAAAGAGCTTGGCCCAGCTGGATGTGTTTTTTTTTTTTTTTTTTTTTGGGTGTGCTTCTTCTTCCTTACTGCTGGCATAAAATTAATGATATACAACATTTTGTATAAACAAACAATTAATCTTTGTTGAGTTTTTGTACGAGCTGCGCCCTAATGGCGCGCATTAGCTACTAATAATTCCTATTAAGATTTCAGTTAGCCTAAAGACTGATGGCTATTTAAATAGGCCCGAAAATTTAGATGTTAATGGGAAAGCTATTATGAAACCGATTTTGCTGTGGACTCTGTTTACAAAAGCTTTGTTGAGTAGGTAACTAGTTGATGAGCTTACATTGAAAGCTGGTATATCGATAATTGTTATTAATCGATATCCAATTGTATTTTTGATATATTAATAGGAAAGATATTATGCAATTTGTTAAAGAGTTTTCTAAGGCAACAGCGCTGTGTAGGTAAATGTAGGTGAAAGCTAGCAGTGCTGGACCTATGTAAATATATCGATAATTATATATATTGACAATATTGGCAAGTATTGAAAATGATCAAGGGAATCTGGTTAAGTTTAGAGCTTTGTTGAGAACTTTCTATTGCTGGCCATGAGGTGATAATTCTACCATTGCTTATATGGCCAATAAAATTTATATCGATATTCACAAAATGGGGATTTTCCTAGAAAATGGCTCAGAATCTATAGATTTTTTATATATAGTACGTTATCTTTATTATACTTTTTCTAAAAATACTTAAAAGTGTCCTTTTAGCACATTTTTTGCACTAAACACAACTTATCGATAGGCCACACTGCCATTATTATCGACTACGATATTTATATTGTCAACACACGAACTGTGCGAATGAATTCGGAAATCCTATTTAGTAATAAGCCGTAGTCGAGCACTGATAAACTGCAGCCATGCACGACCGCGTCCTATCAGCCACTGGCAGTACGGCATTAGCGTGGCTAAGCTCATCTTTCATTTTTTTTGGCCTAAGCCATTGTTAAGCACATCCACTTAACCGTGTCAAGCATCGATTTATGGCTCTGCAGCTCCGCAGTCCACTTGATGCCCGGTAACGCTTGTTACTCAGCACTTGCTAAAGCCGATCGGCTCTTAGTTTTTACGTTCCGACGATGCTGAGGCGCTGAATTGATTGATTTCTGCTGTAGTTGGGTCACTGGGGAGGCTCACCCCCAACCTTTCCGCGCCCCATCTAGCCAGCTCAATTGCCAGTTCAACTAACCCGGAATATTGACGCACAGTCATAAATAAAAACACTCAGATATTCATGTCGTTGGATATGTTCTGCTCTCTATCTGTGTGTAAGTGTGTGTGTGTGAGTCTGTGTGTGTGTGTGGGTCTGTTATTCATTGGTTGCCTGCGGCAAACGTTCCAAATACAAAGTGTATCACTTAATATTTGGAATTTTTTTCACTGCTGCCGAGCCCATCTATGCCTTTCTCTCTCTCCTCTCCTCTCCTCTCCTCTCACTCAGTGTATCTCTCTAGAAGTTGCACTGTTGACGCTGTCTGATATGCGAGCTATTTGCAGCGAGAATGACTCTTGGTTTGTCGTTTCGAGTATTTTGTTGTTGATTTGCGTGTTGTTGAATAATTGATGGAATGACAATCTTGCGATGTGTCAGCATTGTTGTCGCCAGCATTCTATCCAGTTGTTATCAAGCTCACGGATCCGTTGTCATTGTTGACAGCGCTGAGTCTGCCCGTGTGGCATGTTGGTGTGCTGTCTGTGTGTGTGTGCTCGGCATAATAAGAGCCTACGTTGCATTATAACATACTCAGACATACACACGCACACACACTCACTCAATCTCAGCACGCTTATGAATGATGAGCAGTCAAACAATCAACGAGCTGGCGCGAGCCGATGGGAAAAAGAAGAAGATGACATGAAATCAATAACAACAATGAGTTTGAATAGAAATGTGATTCGGGCACTTTTGATAAGTAGACAATTTCCAGTTCGTGAGTGTTTAGGTAAAGCAAACAGACACACAGCATTTGTCTTCATTCGCGCCGAACGCTGAACGGCTAGAAGTTTAGAGCGTATAAATTTCATTTCTGGTTAATTGAAATTCATTTGAGCAAATCAAATTAAGTCAAAAGTACGAGCACATCCTGGCTACGTGCTGCCACACACAGACAGGCAAGCAAACAGAGTGGGAGAGGGAGTGAGGTGTGGGGTGTGGGGAGTGGGGCGCAGCAGCGTCGGGTCCTTCAGGCAGCAAGTGATTCATTCATAACGATAAATTAAGACAAAAAGTCTAAGCAGAAGACGACACGGCTTGCAACATGGCAACGACATCGAATTGCCCCCTGGGAAATACTTTTATTCAAACTTTATTGTATTACCGAATGGCTGGGGCAGCCTTTTAGCTCCAAATGCTGTCGCACTCGCACACACAGTCAAACACACACACACGTCCACATAAATATCCTTAAGCAGGGCAACTGAGTCACATTTGTTGCCATTGTGGCACGTTCTACAAATCTATGTGTGTGTGTGTGTCTATCAGAGCATCTTTCTCTCTCTGTGTGTGTGTGTTTGTGTTTGTGTGCCACACTCTAACAGGCAACCCTCATCAGCATTTTAGTTTTACAAAGAGAACGCAGCACAGATAGAAAAACTCAATTACTAAATATCAGCAGGATCGCAAATAAATAAATTAAGGCAACACAAATCAGCAAAGAGCGTTCGCAAAGTTTGTTTAAATCGAAATGAAATAGTGACACAGCCGCTGCCATAAAACCAAAAGCAAATACAAAGCCATTGCCCACACAAAAGCAAAAAAGGTTAAAACAAATATTTATGCAGCAGCCCAAAAGCCCCACAGCAGATTGGGCCACACAAAAAAAAATAAATAAATAAGCAAGTAAGAAGTTTGAAGATGGGCTATAACTAACTGCTTGATACTCGCTCAGAATGCAGCTAATTTTGGATATAAATAAACATAGAAAATGAAAGGTATATAAAGCGAGAGCAAGAGAAATTCGGTTATGTTTATAAGTAATTGATTATATAAAGTTCTATCTATATCTTTATATAAAATAGCAGAGATATATATTCATTACAGCCATGGCCCTCATAGGCCGTGGTTATATAATTTACAGGTTTATCTCCAGAGATAGCTGATAAAAACAATCAAGAATATAAGTAAAAGGCCAAGCAGCCAAGAGGGTCAAAGGGCAGCTCAGACAAGCTGTCTGATTTTAGAATTTCAGCCTTAAAACTATAAATATTATAATTGTACACAATATACCAGGTTCCTTTGAGTCAGCTGGTGAAAATAATTACTCACAAGGCAAGACTATAAATAAATAAACTGACAAAGGAATATTCCACAGTAATCTCCATATTCTCCTTTCGCTTATTGAACGAGCATCAGAACGAATGTGTAGAGCTCACATGCTGTATGTAATTACCAGACGTAGTCCCCAAGTACAGCTGTGCCTAAGTACATAAACACACACACACACAGGCATATCTATTCAAGTGTGTACGTGTACGTGTGTGTGTGTGGGTGTGTGAGTGCAGCGTACGTGGCTTTATGCTTAAATAAACATTTGTCGTCGTGGTCGCTAGCTACCTCCAACTACATCTACACCTACACACACCTACACACACACGCATACACACCTTTGGCTGCACACCTACACCTGCCCTGCCTTGCCCGACTAAAACTCGTCCTCGTGTCTAGTTTACATAGCACCCAATGGCAGTCCGTTTGCCTGGTCAAAGCCAAATGGTTGATTGCATAAGTTGATGGTCAACACATGTCCAAGATATATAGTGCCGATACACGCAGACAGTTACACATACATATGTATATGTATATATAGAGAATTCCACTTTGCTTTTATACTTACGTGTCGTTGGTAGTTGCTTCTGTGCTGCTTGCATTGGCTGCTCTCTCCAAGGCTAGGTGACTACTTGCCTGCCAGCTAAGGTGTTGTCTGTAAAGAGTAGAGAAAAAGGAAGTCATATAATACTGAAATGTGCATGCAAGTCAGCTCTGTGGCCGTGATTGCTTTTAAGATACTTAAACAGATAAAGCGTTACAGATTCTCACACTTTAGATAGCGCTTAAATCAATGAGCAGCGCATTCCAGCCAAATTGAATCGATTTAAGCCAGCCTCAGCGGATAACTCGTTTAAGGCGCACCATTAGGGCAGCTAAGGAAACCAGGTAACCACGTAACCTGAGCTGCTTGAAGAGTCAGAGTACATACACGTGGCTAGATGAGCTCAAAAAATGATTTTAGGGAATTGAAGTGAAATCTGATCGGATAATCCTTGATTTCCAGACTAATCAGAGAGATGAATGAATAGAATAGAGCGTACAGGATTCCAGGAGAGCAATTTGTTATGTTAAACGTTAGTAAACTGAGGATAGATACTCTCCTAACCAACGCCAAAATTCAAAACTTAGTTCAGTCTGGACATCGTTCAGCCTCATCATCAATCCCAAAGGCTATCTTCCATATTTGTCATTCTCTGCCTCTCTCTCTCTCTCTCTCCCCTTCAAGCTAGCATTGACACTCCATTTCATCACTTCATCATGCTGAGAACATAAGCCAAGCACAATTAGAAATCTACATCAAGAGATTTGACAATTACAAGCTCGAGTTGAGTGCTCGCTTGACTTTTGAACTGGGAGACCTTTACTTATGGTTCGAGTGGGTCCTTTTGGCCAGCACTTGTCTATTGTTCTATTGTTCAGTTCGCATTTTAATCAATCGATGGCAACATTTGGCCCATGACGTGGGAGCACGTGCCCTTACAGCTGAAGCGCAGCAACAGAGAATGCCATTGGAAAATGAAAAGTACGGAAAATTGGCATTGGAAATGTTTCGACATTTTGTTGTCAGCTAAATGCAGCACGAAATGCAATGCCACACGAACTGACAGCACCGAGCGAGGCAAAAGGCATAAGAGAGTAGCCTTGCACGGAAGGCAATGCCTGTCATTAGCAGCGTCATAAGCAAATTACGTAACATAAAGCCAAATCGAAGAACCAAAAATGAAGAAGAGAACAGAGAAAAGAAAAACATTTTATTAAATTGTTTTCTTTTTTTTTTTTTGCGAGTGCAGGCAAGGTGTTTGTTATCGTTTGTTATATTGCTTGTTGTGTAACGTAATTTATATATATATACACAAAAACACACACACACACATACAGAGAGACATACATGAAGAGAAACACAAATATAATGTCATAAACGCCAAGGACACAAAGGCAATTCCGCATGACATTACGGGCAGACAAAACAAACGGGCGATACAACAATGGGCACGACGAAACAGCAGGAGAATGAGCAGAAGCAGGAGAATGGGGAGGAGCAGGAGCAGGTGTAGGGACAGCAGCAGCGGCAGGAGGAGGCGGAGGCGGAGGCGGAGGCGGTGGCGGAGGGCGAGTTGGCGTAAAAGCCAAAAAGTACGCGCTTGGCATAAATGATAAGCTGGCTACGCAGCTGGATGACAACAGGGTGGGCGTGTCCAGACACACAGAGTGTGTGAGAGAGAGAGATAGAGAGGGGCAGAGAGAGCAAATGGACACGCAGGGAGCGCCCACAATTTGTGCGTCTGTGCGTTGGGCCTGGCTGCTTGGTTGACTTTTGAATACTTAACAGGATAATGAAATGTCAAAAGTGCGCAGGAGGCATGTCCTGGCGCTTGTTGTTGTTGCTGTTGTTGTGGTGGCTACATTTTTATTGTGTCCATGCCTAAGGGAACGTCATGGCGTGCCGCGCGCATTAAATCATAAAAAACAGACAGAGAAAGAGGGTGAGTGAGCGAGAGAGACAGGGGAAATATATATGGGCACATTTATGAAATATGTGTGACACACAGCCGCATCTCACAGGACATTCGGTTGGCCATTTTATGTTTACATAAATTTAAATTGACACAAATGCGCCGGCATCGGATTTCAACCGGTTACACACACACACACACACACATAAATAAATAAAAAATAAAAAAGGTAAGGAAAATATATATGAAAGTGATAAACTACATAAATTATGTCAGCTTGGCTCGCACTTGTTTATTTTGTGCGTATCGCATGGAGACATATGCGTAAATTGAAAAACAATTTATTCCATTTTGTTGCTTATCGAACAACAACAACAACAGCCCCAATCGTTACTCTAATCAACAGAACTAGGCCTCAGGCCAACTTCTGCCCATATAGACAACTCGACTATTGCCAGGGCTATGACTGTGGCCTTCTGATTGTTTCTTCTTCTGTATTGTATTTTTGTGTTGGCCACATAAAAGTTTTTTGGCTCAATCAATGGCAGCCAGAAAATCTGTAATCAATAAAGTAAATGGCCAAGCCACTTCACCACCATGTGTGGCACATGTGCAAACGTGTTTTTGATGCGACCCAGACAATATAGCTGAGTGTGGTTGACTCTATAGCGAAGAGTTTTACTAAATGGAATTTGCCACAATACTTGTATACTTACTAATATATAAAAATATTAGTATCTAGGCCGTAAGGAGTACATATATATGTATGTAAAGACAGGTTCGTCAATATAGTAGTATAGTATGCCAAAATAGCCGTAAGTAGTATGTAAATAGTTACTGCATAAAGAGCAGTAACAGAACTATATATATCTACATACATTCAACATAGATGCAATTACAATTACATACCCAACTTATCTCAATATCAGCTTAGATATATATAAAATATTTGAATAGAAGCACCCCCTCCCCACCAATAACCTACCACAATATCAGCTTTCTGCTCTGCATGCCCAAGCAGCTCCAGCTACAGCAATATGTTGCTCGGCTCAAACGATTTGTTCGCACTTCAAGGCCAAATCAAGTCGAGCAACTAAGCAAACGTGACGCACAATTCCGGTTTATATGCGTGCACTCATTAATTTGGACATTTTTATTAATTAAGCAAATGGCGCCAGTAATGGGCGAGAGCAGCTCGCAAGGGCACTTAATGCATGCTAGGCGTATACTTGATTATTTGCAGTGGCTCGGCGTGCGCCTCAAAGTAGGCAACATTAAATAAACTTTCGCAGGGCATTCAAGTCGTGGCTGTAGGACATAAGCTGCGTCAAGTGTTGGACAACAAGAGGATGAAAGAGGGAGGGGGGGGAGGAAAAATAACACGAAACACGCTTCATTTGGTTAATGAACCGAGGATTGCGGAGGCAGAGGCAGAGAGAGGGGGGCAGTACTAGGCCTTCCCGGTTATAGCCGGGAAGTCTTGACTGTGGGCCGTTTGGCTGCTGTTGTTGTTATTTTTGTAATTGAAATCAAATTTACTGAAATGTACATAACCGCAATTCTAATTACGCTTTACAATGCTTTACGATTTTATGAGCTCGAACTTTGGCGGCCCGCGAATTATGTGTGGAAGCGAGGCCACAAGGCGAACTTGTTTTGATTCGTTTATTGACTTTTCATGTTGCGCTGCCAATTATGCGTCGGGCTCCAACTACAATGGCCCGTCAAAACTTTCCGGGCGCAATCTTAACGAGAAAATCTGTAAATTACACGCCCAGCGCCAATGACGACCAACTTTTGTGGCGTGCACAAATTTTCCAAATATTTATACACCTAAATAGATTTGATGGCATAATTGAAATTTGTTGTTATCGCTGTACGAGGCGAGCCTCGAGCCACGTCGTTCTCTCTTTCTCCCTCTCTCTCTCGCTTTCACTCAATACTTGAGTATTTGTGTACAATTTGCATAAACTCATTGCCGGACGAAAGTTTATTAAAAGCGTCGCCGAAACTTTGCCGCCTGCTAATAACAATCATAAACATGACTCAATGCAAAATGATGAAGGTCCTTACAAATCTGACACATAGCTTACAGGGCCGGCCCATTGCGTCGAGTCCCGTTTCGTCCTGCCTGTCTGCAATTGCCGCCACAATTTGTTACGCCCACAACTTTGGAGTTGTCCTACAAATTTTGGATCATTTAAACTACGCTTGAACTTGCCTTTCCAGCTTTGCTCTGACTCAAATTAAAAAGTTACGGAAGATCCTTTTAGTTGGAGCAGGGGAAAAAGCAAATTCAATTGAAATTGCAAGTCCTTAAGATGATTCTTGAAGCAGTAAAAGATACGATACTCAAGGATCCTTAGAGCATTATTCAGCATCTATATCTCTATCTCTATCTATCTATATCTCTATCTCTATCCATATATCTTTACAGACTCTATTTAAGAATGAATATATATGGGCAATTGAAGTACCTCTTGGCACTCTCATTCACTTTATAGGGTATTCGCAGGTGCCGCCTGCCGCTGCTTCCTCCACTAATACTAGAGGGTAGCTGTTTAGGAGCTGATTTTCCTGGAAGTGACAAGTTTTGCGCCTAATTGGCCTCAGAGTGTGGGCTGTTCCCTTGGGGAATAATGATGCGAAATTATGCTGATGTGTTTTGATTGGGGATTTGAAGAGCAGCAAACGAGCCAGAGAAATGAGCTACGATTAGCTGCGTGCATAGTTGGGGGCAGTGCTTGGCCAACCACTCGAGTAAGCATTCATTTTTCTATAATTAAAAGTCTTCGTTGTTGCTGTTGTTGCTCGTAGCACATATTTCGCCCTTAAATGAAATTAAAAGCAATTCAAAGCAAAACTTAAGCTTGATGCAAGGCCCTAGAGCATGCGATTATATTAACTACGTCTTACAAATTGCTGATTAATTAACTCTTTGTTGTTTGGCGTAAACTAACTTTGAGTTGAACAACTTTGTGCCCCGCAGTTGCCAGTTCCCCTGGCTCCCCTAGCTCCCGTTACTACCAACAGCCAGCTCTCTCTCTCTCTCTACCTCTCTCTCTCTCTCTCTCTCTATCTCTCTCTTCTCTGTGCACTTAAAGCAACAGAGTCGACCATTTAATGTGCTTACATTCATTTAATTTTAAATCTGCGATAAAGTGCCCGCTGCTTTAAGTCTTTCTCGTGCTCCTGCTCA